TCGAAAAATTATTAATTCATGAAAACTTGGCTTATTAAGCAAATCGGGCCTTGCATAGTAGGCTGAGAAGTGCGTTCTGGCTACTAGGTACGACATATATATATATATATATATATATATATATATATATATATATATATATATATATATATATATATATATATATATATATATATATATATATATATGTCGTACCTAATAGCCAGAACGCACTTCTCAGCCTACTATTCAAGGCCCGATTTGCCTAATAAGCCAAGTTTTCATGAATTAATGTTTTTTCGTCTACCTAACCTACCTAACCTAACCTAACCTAACTTTTTTTGGCTACCTAACCTAACCTTACCTATAAATATAGGTTAGGTTAGGTTAGGTAGGGTTGGTTAGGTTCGGTCATATATCTACGTTAATTTTAACTCCAATAAAAAAAAATTGACCTCATACATAGAGAAAAGGGTTGCTTTATCATTTCATAAGAAAAACATTTTAGTAAATATATTAATTCAGGAAAACTTGGCTTATTAGGCAAATCGGGCCTTGAATAGTAGGCTGAGAAGTGAGTTCTGGCTACTAGGTACGACATATATATATATATACATTATTAAATATGACCGAAAAAGTAAGATTAATAATTCTAACACGAATTTTCTCAATCTTTCGTACATTTCTTTTCACTGTTGGTGGTAATTCAAAAATCAATTCTCCAAAATTCATTTTTATTTCTAGTCTGACGCGACACTTGAGCGCGTTTCGTAAAACTTATTACATTTTCAAAGACTTTAGTTTACACATACACAACTGAATAGAACTTACACATCTCCGATTTGTTTTATATCTACATTTGAGTGAGGTGGATGGGGTGAGGTGTATTAATAGGGTATTAAATGGAAGACACTGCTTTGTGTCCAGACACAAAGCAGAACGCTTTAAAAGAGACTAACGTCGTCTATGCCTTCAAATGCCCTCTTGGGGACTGTAAGCTCCAAAAAACCCAGTATATAGGCAAGACAACAACATCTCTTTCTAGGCGTTTAACGATGCATAAGCAACAGGGCTCCATTAAGGAACATATAATCTCTTCCCACAACCAAATTATCGCCAGAGAAATCCTAGTAAACAACACAGAAATCATCGATAGATACAGCGATAGCAGGCGGCTTGACGTTTGCGAGGCACTACACATTAAGAAGTCAACACCAGCAATCAACAGCAAATTAATGCCCAACTATATTCTACCCACCTCAAGACTCCGCTCCAATATAGAAGCATCAAGAAATATGGACCAATAGGCTTTCTACAATCACTTCCATTCAATACCCATTGTTTCGTGTTCTGTCTTGTGTTGATGAATTTAATACCCTATTAATACCACCTCACCCCATCCACCTCACTCAAATGTAGATATAAAACAAATCGGAGATGTGTAAGTTCTATTCAGTTGTGTATGTGTAAACTAAAGTCTTTGAAAATGTAATAAGTTTTACGATACGCGCTCGTGTCGCGTCAGACTAGAAATAAAAATGAATTTTGGAGAATTGATTTTTGAATTACCACCAACAGTGAAAAGAAATGTACGAAACATTGAGAAAATTCGTGTTAGAATTATTAATCTTACTTTTTCGGTCATATTTAATAATATATGTCTACAGGAAAGACTGCTACCAAAATATACTAATATATATATATATATATATATATATATATATATATATATATATATATATATATATATATATATATATATATATGTCGTACCTAGTAGCCAGAACGCACTTCTCGGCCTACTATACAAGGCCCGATTTGCCTAATAAGCCAAGTTTTCCTGAATTAACATATTTTTTCTATTGTTTTTCTTATGAAATGATAAAGCTACCCATTTCATTATGTATGAGGTCAATTTTTTGTTATTGCAGTTAAAATTAACGTGGATATATGACCGAACCTAACCAACCCTACCTAACCTAACCTAACCTATCTTTATAGGTTAGGTCAGGTTAGGTAGCCTAAAAAGCTAGGTTAGGTTAGGTTAGGTAGGTTAGGTAGTCGAAAAACAATTAATTCATGAAAACTTGGCTTCTTAGGCAAATCGGGCCTTGCATAGTAGGCTGAGAAGTGCGTTCTGGCTACTAGGTACGACATATATATATATATATATATATATATATATATTAGGCATATATATATATATATATATAGGCCATATATATATATATATATATATATATATATATATATATATATATATATATATATATATATATATATATATATATATATATATATATATATATATATATATATATATATATGTGTGTGTGTGTGTATATCACGAAAATAAACACGTGATTAAAAATGTGACAATGTCAGACCACGGAGGAAAAATGAAACAGGAATTTCCTTAAGTACTTTCGTATATTAATACATCTTCAGAAGGAGTGGAAGGAGTGGACTCCTTCTGAAGATGTATTAATATACGAAAGTACTTAAGGAAATTCCTGTTTCATTTTTCCTCCGTGGTCTGACATTGTCATATATATATATATATATATATATATATATATATATATATATATATATATATATATATATATATATATATATATATATATATATATATATATATATATATATATATATATATATATATATATATATAGATAGATAGATAGCTATGCATGCTTGTTTTAATTATAGACACAAAGATTTATTATATTTGACGAGAACTTTTATTTTCTCCATTTTTCTATTATAAACATTTTCTCTATAATTGTTAACAAAAATTCAAAATATTGAATTTTACGGTCTAAACATTTGGTTAATATTCGGTTCGTTGTATATGTGTGTACGAAACAACTGAATCCCAATTCAGCGGTGATGTTAAAAATAGAACAAGACGAAATTGTCACTGGAGGACTGCTCAGGACGTAATGGGGTGGAAGTGGTGTGAATGGGCAATACTGTTGAAATTTGAGGTGCGGTGTCGGACAAATGAAGATGGTTAGCTAGTGAATTAGAGGTTAGAAAGGCTGCTAGTGGCTAGAGAAGTTAGAGAAATGGACGGAGGGAGATAAGAAGCAAAGGTTGATGGAATAAATGAAATAAGAACAGTCGCGATGGGAGGCCGGGATGTGGGGGGGGGGGGGAACACGAGGGTAAGGACAGAGGATAAATATAGAATTGAATGAAAAAATATTGTTGGTCAGAAAACATAATATTGTGAGGAAAGTGAACTCTGAGACAGGTGGGAAAGAGAGAGAGAGAAAGAGCAATACTGTCTAGGTGAGGGGAAAGTTAGTGCTCGCTAAGGAATGTGTTGTGAGGGGAGGGGAGAGAGAGAAAGGAAGGAGCGGTGAGAGAGAGAGAGGAAAAGAATGCGTGAGCTGAGAAACGCGGACCGAGGCTCTGGGGTGTTAAAGCTGTGAGGCTTTCCCTTCGTGGGACTCAAATGTGAGAAGGATGGGATGGTGTGACGGACGGTGGGAGGGAGAAGTAGAGCAGCGTTAAAGGTGAGATGGAAGGAGAGAGAGAGAGAGAGAAGGAGCAGAAAGTGAAGGTAGGGATACTTGATGTGTTGGGTGGATGGTTGATTTTTTGAGAGGGAGAGAATGGGTGAGGAGAGGACAAAATAACAATGTGTTAGGAGGGAGAGAAGGGCTGTAATGGGGCATAAGATTATCAGAAGAGGTTGAGGATGTTTATAAGATAAACATAGAGGTAGGGGAGGTGAGACGGATATAATAACAGGAGTATAAAGATGTAGGGATGTGAGTGGGGTAGACTTACGGGTTATTCATACCCGTGCCACCTCTTGGGTGGCTTAATCTTCATCAATCAATCAATGGGTAGAAAGAAAGTTGTTGGGCAGTAGAACTCCCAGAACTCCATCCAGGTACAATCCAAAAGGGGCTGGGTTAGAATGCTTGAAGGAACTGCGTGTATGTGTGTGTATCTACTCGCCCAGTTGTTTAGTTTGCACATTGTTTAATTTGTATAAGTAAGCTTCTGCGTTTTCATAAAGATTTTAAGTGGCAAAGCCTCGTGACCCTATCAGCACTGGTCTCATAAATCATAAACTGTGGATGAAGCTTCCGTCAACAGCCTCATATCTGCGTCAACAGTCTCATATCTGCATCAACAGCTTCATATCTGCGTCAACAGTCTAATATCTGCGTCAACAGCCTCATATCTGCGTCAACAACCTCATCTTGTAGCTCCTAACATTTCCTCGCTGATCCCAAAATAAAAGTGTTTTATTTAAGTGAAAGTGAAATGAAAGTGTGAACATCACTGGCTTCATTAGGTAACCTTCTTCCTGTTATGGTTCTGTGTTTTATTGCTTCTTATACTGAAATGTCTAATGTTCATTATTTGTATTATGATCCGTTTCACTTGAGAATGAAGTTGAAAAAATAACTACAAAAGTTATTTTTACAGTCTTCTTATGGCCGGACGGAGATGCGATTCGTTGATCGTGTCAACATTTTCAAAGGCCGAGTAAAGTGAATATAATCTTGCATGTACGACCTGAATATTACAACCCATCCTCCTGTTTATATAGTACTTTGTGTAACTATGTGGACTATCGTACATATATTGACGTATTGGACAATTAGATAGTAAAATTTGGTACTATTAGTCTGAAGAAAGTAAGGGCAAAAACAAACTTAAGAATTCCTAGACCTAGTACAGTACATATATATGCTATATTAGGCCTCAGATGGCATGTATTAGGCCTAGGATGGTTAGATTTTATTGGCAAAATATATACAAAATCTTTTGCAGTTTGTCCAAATTCAGTGGTACCAAATTCTACTTTCCAAATGCCCATTACGTCAATAATACAATGGTGCACATCGCGGCTATAAGTACTGTCTAAAACAGGAGGATGGTCTGGAATATAACCGAGAGAGGGAAGTGTGTCTTATTGACATCCAGTTATTGCGACTTAGCCTGCATGCGACCATAGCCTCATGACACACAATAATAGAGGTTTCCCCGGGCAGGTTGGTGCTCGTGGGTGGCGGGTCCGGTCTTCGTGGAGTCTCCCGCCAACGTGACGGTGAGCGAGGGCGCCCACGCCTTCCTCCCCTGCCGGGTGGCCAACCTCGGCGACAGATCCGTAAGTATATGCACACTTCTCAAACTGTTTATTGTGCGCGGGAGATTTTGCTTCAACCAGTTGACTGGAAAGTTGAAAGAGTTATAAGAGCGGTTCTGTTGGCCCTAATAACAAGTCTTCACTCTTTTTCCTACGAAATTTCCTGCAGATAGTCTTGCAATTCCTAGCCTTAGAATTCGGCTAGGAAATATTTACCGGAATTTACCCAAGAGACACTAACACTCTAGTGCCTTCGACAAGGACAGGAAGCAGGCGGCTTGTCAAACGCCACACCTATCCCATTCCTACTGGTATCGGTCGACTCAACTGTTCATGGGTAATAAGGAAATAATAAATAATCTGCACTAACCTATTTTGAAGGGGGTAAGGGATCTCTCCTTGCTTTTTAACAACTCATTATTATAGATAAAAGAGACGCAGTTAAATTGGCCAACAATAAATCTTTGCTTAATATTCTTGAAAAGTAGAATGGAGACTTGAAGTTTTCTTGGTCTACAATATACTTTAGGTTGTATATAAAATTCTTTTTCTACTCCAGTGGAATTCTCTTAAGCGTGAAGGAACTGTCAGATTCAAGGATACAACTGTTTTGGGGCCTTAGGTCAAAATAGTTAATGAGCCCATCCTAAACAGGCCTAACTAAAGCAACAACATGGAAAACATAATTTTTGTTATTTGAAGAAATTTTGAAAGCTTTGAAACGAATGTCAGCGCAGCTTTTTTCTTAGATTTTAATTTACGTTTTGAGACTTTAAACATACAACAAAAGTATGTATGTATACTATTAACATACAACAAAAGTATGTATGTATACTTTTAACATACAACATAAACAGTATTAGGAATTAGGTCTCGCTTCTCGGCGTATTCACACACAGAGTTCATTAGTGCTGGACTATGTTCAAGCCTAACGCGTACTTGCTGATTGATCAGTAAACTACCTAAAGTATACATGCTGATTGATCAGTAAACTACCTAAAGTATACATGCTGATTGATCAGTAAACTACCTAAAGTATACATGCTGATTGATCAGTAAACTACCTAAAGTATACATGCTGATTGATCAGTAAACTACCTAAAGAATACATGCTGATTGATCAGTACACTACCTAAAGTATACATGTTGATTGATCAGTAAACTACCTAAAGTGTGCATGCTGATTGATCAGTAAACTACCTAAAGTATACATGCTGATTGATCAGTACACTACCTAAAGTATACATGCTGATTGATCAGTAAACTACCTAAAGTATACATGCTGATTGATCAGTAAACTACCCAATGTATACTTGCTGATTGATCAGTAAACTACCTAAAGTATACTTGCTGATTGATCAGTAAACTACCCAATGTATACTTGCTGATTGATCAGTAAACTACCTAAAGTATACTTGCTGATTGATCAATACACTACATAAAGTATACTTGCTGATTGATCAGTAAACTACTTAAAGTATACTTGCTGATTGATCAGTACATTACCTAAAGTATACTTGCTGATTGGTCAGTACACTACCTAAAGTATATTTGCTGATTGATCACTAAACTACCTGAAGTATACTTACTGATTGATCAGTATACTACCTAAAGTATACTTACTGATTGATCAGTACACTACCTAAAGTATACTTGCTGATTGATCAGTAAACTACCTAAAGTATACTTGCTGATTGATCACTAAACTACCTAAAGTATACTTACTGATTGATCAGTATACTACCTAAAGTATACTTGCTGATTGATCAGTATACTACCTAAAGTATACTTGCTGATTGATCAGTAAACTATTGTGGTGGCATACAATAGCTCTCCAGAGCCATTGCCAGGTGTTAGTATTACGGCCAAACAACCTATGGAGATTTCCTATGTCTTGCACAAGTTCTCTCTGACCAGCCAGCAACTATGCTCAACGGCAAAAGATAACTTTCGGTTTATATACATACACCAAGAAGTCTGGTATACCCAGAGTTCTCCAGAGGTTTTTATAGACTTTAAGTCCAACACCAAACATGTAAAATTAAATCCAAATACGTATATTGTTAAATATAATTAACCAACAAATTAGTAAAACTTTAGGCTAATTATCATGTCCCAAGTTCCGTCTCGGTGGAGCTAACAGGAGCGAGTGTTCACTCCTAGTTACACCACACTAGACCAGCCAACAGACGCTAGTGTTCACTCCTAGTTACACCACACTAGACCAGCCAACAGACGCTAGTGTTCACTCCTAGTTACACCACACTAGACCAGCCAACAGACGCTAGTGTTCACTCCTAGTTACACCACACTAGACCAGCCAACAGGCGCTAGTGTTCACTCCAAGTTACACCACACTAGACCAGCCAACAGACGCTAGTGTTCACTCCTAGTTACACCACACTAGACCAGCCAACAAACGCTAGTGTTCACTCCTAGTTACACCACACTAGACCAGCCAACAAACGCTACTGTTCACTCCTAGTTACACAACACTAGACCAGCCAACAGACGCTAGTGTTCACTCCTAGTTACACCACACTTGACTATTAACACAAATTTTGTACTCGAATTTAAATCCTTTCGATAAGGCTTCAAAATGTAAATTTTCCGCTAGATGTAAAACCATTTTTTTTAGGGATGAATCTTTGTTTCTTTAATATATGTATTTATATGTATATATATATATATATATATATATATATATATATATATATATATATATATATATATATATATATATATATATATATATATATATATATATATATATATATATATATATATATATATATATATGGCGTACCTAGTAGCCAGAACGCACTTCTCATCCTACTATGCAAGGCCCGATTTGCCTAGTAAGCCAAGTTTTCATGAATTAATTGTTTTTCGACTACCTAACCTACCTAATCTAACCTAACCTAACTTTTTCGGCTACCTAACCTAACCTAACCTATAAAGATAGGTTAGGTTAGGTTAGGTAGGGTTGGTTAGGTTCGGTCATATATCTAAGTTAATTTTAACTCCAATAAAAAAAATTACATCATACATAATGAAATGGGTAGCTTTATCATTTCATAAGAAAAAAATTAGAGAAAATATATTAATTCAGGAAAACTTGGCTTATTAGGCAAATCGGGCCTTGCATAGTAGGCTAAGAAGTGCGTTCTGGCTACTAGGTACGACATATATATATATATATATATATATATATGTTGTACCTAGTAGCCAGATTGCACTATTTGGCCTACTGTGCAAGGCTCGATTTGCCTAATAAGCCAAGTTTTCATGATTTTATATTTTTTTATTTTTTTTCGTATGAAATGATAAATCTACCCATTTCATTATGTATGCTGTCACGTGGAGGTGGGCCGGGGCTCTGATAGCACTCGGCTGCTAGGGGCTCAAAAGGCCGAATACTCAGCCCCTCCGACTCCCGGGATTCACCGGAGTCTCCTTGGTCACACAGGAGACGACCAACAATGCCCACCTCCGCAGGTCTTTGCTTCCACCACAAAAGGGGTGCCACTGATTCACCCTGGAAGTCCTTCAGTCAAACACGGGGAAACTGCTGTTAACAGTTCCGGCCTAGACCCGTGGAGGAGTGAAGGAAGACTCAGGCTTACCTTATAACCATAACCTCCCTGAGTCTTGCCTGCCAGACAAGAAGGTTGCAGGAATTCCTTTCCCGCCTGTCTTCTCTATCTTATTCTTAGCAAGGTCGCCAGCTGGGTTATTATATCTGCACCCCAGCAATGCAGTTCAGTGGGTGTATTATATATTGTTTGTAGCCAGAAGATTGCTACTCCCAAAGATCTGCTACTAGACTGTTGGCCCAGGGTACTCTCCCAGGAAGGTCTGTGTGGCTTTACCTCTCTCTAGCCACTACGTTAATAGTTGCCACCATTCAGGCACCGATACTGATCGGATGGCTAAGGGTACACTTTTATGTAAGTCTGTGCTGTCTTTACCACTCTCCAGGCAATAAGAACTGCTATAGAGAACGTAGTGTTCCCTAGGTGGTACTATGATAACCTTCGTGTATGCTCATAGAGAAATATCATAAATGGAGGCACACTTAAACACAGTGATAAAATGTGTGAATTTACTGATGCAAATTACATGAACACACACAGAATCACAAGTAATACATGAATATGGAAATATGGATAATAAGTCTGGAGATCGTCAGCCTCTTCTTCCACGACCTCCAACACTCCTTCAACTGGGCAGAAAAACAGGAGTCCCACACTCTCACACAGGAGGGCCTCTTCACCACGTTGGCGCCTCTCCTTCACTGTCCTGCCATCCATACACACTGTCCCCTCTGACAGTCCTGGACACAAGCTGCCTTGCAGCCTATTCTACTACTAAAGTTTAAAAGTCCTGCTGCCACATACATAAGTAAATATTGTGGCCTAACTAGCTTACTCACACAAGGGGTAATGGGAGGGAAAATGATCTACCTTACATTCCTGGCTCACGACGCCTGTCCCTCGATGGTGTGAGGTTCCCACGCTTCCTGAGTCGATCCTCGACGATCCAGGAACGTTCCACAGGTCCTCAGGTGTCGTGGAGCCTTCGCGTCGTCGCCGTTCCAATCCCTGAGATTCAGCTACCCCAATCCTGGTTCATCGATAGGCGCTGAGCTAATCACTATTTTCCCACACTCGCCCCTTCCACAAGGCGTTGCTCCTTGTCCTAGGCACGGTGTCGTCCTTCCAAAACCCTCAGTGGATGTGACCCGGTCACAGTTAGGCTTGCCCGCCACACCTTTTCAGGCCCCCAACGTCCAGCGTCGCCGCCCAGCGTCGTCGCCGAATATTTTCCCAGTTTGGCCCTCTTTCGCTCAATAAACTTGGTTCCTTTTTGCTTCCCAGAAGCGCAGGGTCTCCAATATATCCGATGGGCTGCGATAGCCTACACTAATCCACTAAGAAAGGCTTGTAGAGCCTCTAATCCTTGAGAGCAGACCGAGGTGCGTCCTGTCGCTTCCAAGGTCGGGTCAACTCTGACGTTGGCGCCGCCCGGGGCACTCAGTGACGTCACGGTGGGCCCTGATTGGTCGCCCGCGACCTAAGTCGGCCAATCCGCGATCGGCTAGTGTCCCTTCCAAAAGGTCATATCTGCATTAGGGGATACTCTTTCATTTTATATCAGGGCGCCAATTTCCCCTTATTTACAACTTATAATGTAACGTTCTCCCTTAACTGGCAGCCGGTCCGGTCGCCACATATATCATTAGACTCCCTGAACCTCAGAGAATCAGTAGGGAGAGCTGATACGACTCTTTAAGCCGGCAAACGAAAGAAATAGGAGAGGGCACCGTAACAATGCGTTATTTTTTTTAAATTTGAGTTTAAACTAACATAGATATATGACCGAACCTAACCAACCCTACTTAACCTAACCTAAACTAACATTACTAAGTCAAAAACTTATGTTCTTGATATAATATAATAATACGAAGTCCAAAAAAGCAATTGGAAACAATTTATTGAAAATAATGAAAATTACTCGGCCTATTAGGCAAATCAGGCCTTGCATAGTAGGCCGAGAAGTATATATATATATATATATATATATATATATATATATATATATATATATATATATATATATATATATATATATATATATATATATATATATATAAGGGAAGGGAGTACCACCTCTGGCTGGAAGAAGGGGGATCCATAGCCTCGGAGGAATCCACACATAACGCATTGGAGGGAATGTAGGTCCCCTCCAGTACAGTTTCTGTGTGCTTTTCTCCTACCACCCCCTCTTTTTTTTTTTTTTTTTTTTTTTTTTTTGCTTTATTGTGTATTTAAAGGTTATATATATATATATATATATATATATATATATATATATATATATATATATATATATATATATATATATATATATATATATGTATATTGGATAAGTAAACATATGAATGGAAGTAACTGCAGAAGGTCTATTGGCCCATACTTCCTCTGGCTGCTTCTATATTAGTTCGGGGTCTTGAAGTAGGTAGAATATAGTTGTGCATTAATTGGCTGTTGATTGCTGGTGTTGACTTTTTGATGTGTAGTGCCTCGCAGATGTCAAGCCGCCTGCTATCGCTGTATCTATCGATGATTTCTGTGTTGTTTGTTAAGATTTCTCTGGTGATGGTCTGGTTGTGAGAAGAGATTATATGTTCCTTAATGGAACCCTGTTGTTTATGCATCGTTAATCGCCTGGAAAGAGATGTTGTTGTCTTGCCTATATACTGAGTTCTTTGGGGCTTACAGTCCCCAAGTGGGCATTTAAAGGCATAGACGACGTTGGTCTCCTTCAAAGCGTTCTGTTTGGTGTCTGGCGAGTTTTTCATGAGTAGATTGGCCGTTTTTTTGGTTTATAATAAAATTATCAATTGTATTTTCTGATTTTTGTCTGTAGGGATGACATTCCTATCAACAATATCTTTCAGGACCCTTTCCTCCGTTTTATGAGCTGTGGAAAAGAAGTTCCTGTAAAATAGTCTAATTGGGGGTACAAGTGTTTTGTTGGTTGACTCTTCAGAAGTTGCATGGCTCTACAGACAAAAATCAGAAAATACAATTGATAATTTATTATAAAACAAAACAAAAACGGCCAATCTACTCATGAAAAACTCGCCAGACACCAAGCAGAACGCTTTGAAGGAGACCAACGTCGTCTATGCCTTTAAATGCCCACTTGGAGACTGTAAACCCCAAAGAACTTAGTATATAGGCAAGACAACAACGCCTCTTTCTAGGCGACTAACTATGCAGTCAAGTGTATAATATATATATATATATATATATATATATATATATATATATATATATATATATATATATATGCGACCAACTTGAATGGTCTCCAAGCCAATATAAAACTGAAAGCTCCACACCCCAGAAGGTTTCGAACCCAGACAGCCAGGAGCATTATGCAACTGGCGTACCCGGTACCTTAACCACTCCACAACCGTGACTGTACAAAAAGACATTGGTAACCGAGGCTATATCCCCCAACGTCCCGACAGCACTTGGTGGTAATCTTGGGCATACCCCAAGAGCTATACACACACACACACACACACACACACACACACACACAACACACACACACACACACACACACACACACACACACACACACACACACACGCACACACACGACGAGGATAAGTACAGGACAGAGATGGTTGGGCAGACTGCATATTTCTGGACTGCCAAAAAGCCTTTGATACAGTACCGCACATGAGACTGCTGTTCAAGCTCGAGAGGCAGGCGGGGGTGGGGGGAAAGGTCATAGCATGGATAAGGAACTACCTAACAGGAAGGAGCCAAAGAGTTACGGTAAGGGGCGAGAAGTCGGACTGGCGAACAGCAACAAGCGGAGTACCACAAGGATCGGTGCTGGGACCAATTCTATTTCTTGTATATGTTATCGACATGTTTACAGGAGTAGAGTCCTACATGTCGATGTTTGCGGATGACGCAAAGTTGATGAGAAGAGTTGTGACAGATGAGGATTGCAGGATCCTCCAAGAGGACCTGAAACAGGTTGCAGAGATGGTCAGAGAAATGGCTACTGGAATTCAACCGAGCAAATGTAAAGTTATGGAAATGGGACTAGGAGATAGGAGACCAAAGGGACAGTACACAATGAAGGGGAACAGCCTACCTGTGACGACACGCGAAAGAGACCTGGGGTGGACATAACACCTAATCTATCTCCTGAGGCACATATAAATAGGATAACGACAGCAGCGTACTCTACACTGGCAAAAGTTAGAACATCATTCAGAAACCTAAGTAAGGAGACATTTAGGGTGCTTTACACTGCCTACGTGAGGCCAGTCTTAGAGTATGCCGCCTCATCATGGAGTCCCCATCTGAAGAAGCATATAATGAAACTAGAAAAGGTTCAGAGGTTTGCAACGAGACTCGTCCCAGAGCTACGAGGGATGGGGTATGAGGAGCGCCTGAGGGAACTGTGCCTTACGACACTAGAAAGAAGAAGGGATAGGGGGGACATGATAGGAACGTATAAGATACTCAGAGGGATTGACAGAGTGGACATAGACGAAATGTTCACACGGAATAGTAACAGAACGAGGGGACATGAATGGAAGCTTGAAACTCAGATGAGTCACAGAGATGTTAGGAAGTTTTCTTTTAGCGTGAGAGTAGTGGGAAAATGGAATGCACTTCAGGAACAGGTTGTGGAAGCAAATACTATTCATAATTTTAAAACCAGGTATGATAGGGAAATGGGACAGGAGTCATTGCTGTAAACAACCGATGCTCGAAAGGCGGGATCCAAGAGTCAATGCTCGATCCTGCAGACACAACTAGGTGAGCACACACATGCACACACACACACACACATACATAAACACATATATATATATATATATATATCCTCTAGGAAACTTTCTTCATCAACAGCCTCTAGAAAACAAAAATCCTTTTATTTCCTCTTGATGTTCTCATTTTGTTACCAATCATATATATAAATGAGTAATTTTATATAAAGAAGTATATAATAATTATAATTAAAAAAAGGGGGTTGTAGCAGAAGCAAATACTGACACGGCTTTAGAGTCAAATTAAAAAAAAATTTATGAATATTTCACTCTGAATAATCATTTCTCTGAGGCTATGGAGAACCCGCGTAGACTTGTAACACCCACTGAAGCTGTGTTGCAGGTGTAGTGTCACAGGTGCTGCTACAAGTGTTGTGTTCCTGCAGGTGACGTGGATGAGACGACGAAACCTGCACATCATCACGGCGGGACTCCTCACCTACTCTCCCGACGACCGCTACAGAGTAAGTCACTTCACACACACTCAACACTCAGGCAACTAATGTACTCTTACTTGGCTTACCTCTTGTCCGATCTTTATGTAATTATTTGTTTATTGATATATATATATATATATATATATATATATATATATATATATATATATATATATATATATATATATATATATAGAATATATATATATATATATGTGAGAAGCTGCATGAACGCGCAAGCCATATATATATATATATATATATATATATATATATATATATATATATATATATATATATATATATATATATATATATATCTGTATCTATAAAGGGAAATACCTCTATATTTGTTTGTTAGTTTCTTAGTTTGTTTAATTGTTCCTAGTAGTTGCTATTGCCAACTCTGGCGAGTCGGGAGTGGCATCAATAAAAAGAGTGTCATGAGATTCTGTGCCAAAGTGACCCCCACACAAAAACATGACATTCTGACACGACTCTGAATTGTTATTATTATCATTATTATTTTGAGACAATCAACTGGTGCTCTTAGATGCCTCGAACCCACGACCAGCGTACTGCCAGCTGCAACCTCTGCAAGAGTCACTGCAGAGTTGCAGTTGATTTTCTCATTGATATATATCACGTTAGTGTACTTTCTCGGTTATTATCTTTAAATTTTATTATTATTATTATTATTATTATTATTATTATTATTTTTGTCATATTATAAAACATTATGCACTGATCATTCCAAATCAAAAATAAATCTAATAATAATAAGACCGACATATACTGACATGTGATACATGCTGACACACATGCCAACTCATGATACTTGTTAACACATGATAAATAACATTGGATTCAAACTGTCACACATGACACATGACACATACTGACACACGTGAGACATACCCGCACTTGGGTAGACTCCGGGCTGTACTAGACTCTTAAGATGGTAGAAGGCAACTGTTGGCTGGCTGTTGAAAGTTGGTTGAGAGGGTGAGAACAAACACCATATATATATATTGTCGGGAAACGTCCTGTAAGCGAGTAACGGTGTACGCAAGATCTTTATCCCGGACACCTGGCAAGATCGCCAATGTCAGGGTTTACTTTAGTTGTAAGTATAAGTATAAGTAACCGTTTTTGATATCCGGTCAACGGTCGCCAACGTCGGGGTGTCCCTCTCTCTACATCGACACCACCCAGTAGTATTAGCGACAACTGTTACTCACCGTAGCCCTGTGGGTCTTCACTCAATCCTCGCGGCGCCACTGTTCGCCAGGAGAGTATCCTAGTCGATCTCCAGCTGGCCTTCTAGCCAAAGATGAGTGGGAACACAGTCTGCTCTCTCCCAACCATGTGCCCGCCCCGACAAGGGCTCTACTACTAACTGCAAGGTCGCCAACTGGTGTTTCCCATGTCCAGTAACACGTCAGTGGTATTGTGGAATTGTGGTACTAATGGCAGAGTGCTCACTCATTAAATCTGGTCACAGGCAGGTATATGTCTCTAATACTCTCACTCTTTGGAACTGTTCTATAGCAACAAGATATATGGAGGGATAATACAAGAGCAAAGGTATTTTGTATTTTACTTAAAAACTTCAAGGTATTATATCCGTATCAACAACGAAACATCAAGTACAATGCAGAAAGTCACTCTCTCTTCATAAAACTGGGGCTCGTCTAGAGGGCAACACTCCCCCTCTCCTGTCAATGTCAGCTGGGCAGCCCCCTTCACCGTGCGAATGCTTAGTACTTGTTTCTTTGGCGTGAAGCGCCTGATTCTTTAAATTCGCAGGGATCACTATGTTTGTAATCAACACAATATTTCTATAATGGCAATGATTCACCACACTGATCTCAAGTTCAATAACTCATTTCTACAGCAATTAACATATTTCACTATAATGGCATAATGCACTGTACTTCATAATCATTACAATGAATGCAATTAACCACGGTACTGTCCTTAGATTAAGCAATTCCTCTCGAAGGCGATAACGCAATTAATCACTGCATACATGTAAATGTTATTCATCCCACCAACATATACATATATAGAGATAAATTCATCAATATCAATAATAATAAGATAAATACTGGGCACACAGCCTAACATCAATAACTGGTACACTTATATATATATTCTCTGACATAAGTTATCATATTCATGAAAACTTGGCTTATTAGGCAAATCGGGCCTTGAATAGTAGGCTGAGAAGTGCGTTCTGGCTATTAGGTACGACATATATATATATATATATATATATATATATATATATATATATATATATATATATATATATATATGTCGTACCTAATAGCCAGAACGCACTTCTCAGCCTACTATTCAAGGCCCGATTTGCCTAATAAGCCAAGTTTTCATGAATTAATGTTTTTTCGTCTACCTAACCTACCTAACCTAACCTAACCTAGCTTTTTTTGGCTACCTAACCTAACCTTACCTATAAATATAGGTTAGGTTAGGTTAGGTAGGGTTGGTTAGGTTCGGTCATATATCTACGTTAATTTTAACTGTAATAAAAAAATTGACCTCATACATAGAGAAAAGGGTTGCTTTATCATTTCATAAAAAAAAATTTATAGTAAATATATTAATTCAGGAAAACTTGGCTTATTAGGCAAATCGGGCCTTGAATAGTAGGCTGAGAAGTGAGTTCTGGCTACTAGGTACGACATATATATATATATATATATATATATATATATATATATATATATATATATATATATATATATATATATATATATATATATATATATATATATATATATGTCGTACCTAGTAGCCAGAACGCACTTCTCGGCCTACTATGCAAGGCCCGATTTGCCTAATAAGCCAAGTTTTCATGAATTAATTGTTTTTCGACTACCTAACCTACCTAACCTAACCTAACCTAGCTTTTTCGGCTACCTAACCTAACCTAACCAATAAAGATAGGTTAGGTTAGGTTAGGTAGGGTTGGTTAGGTTCGGTCATATATCTACATTAATTTTAACTCCAATAAAAAAAAATTGACCTCATACATAATGAAATGGGTAGCTTTATCATTTCATGAGAAAAAAATTTGAGAAAATATATTAATTCAGGAAAACTTGGCTTATTAGGCAAATCGAGCCTTGCATAGTAGGCCGAGAAGTGCGTTCTGGCTACTAGGTACGACATATATATATATATGTATATCATCAGCCGCTACATCGGCTGTACATATATATATATATATATATATATATATATATATATATATATATATATATATATATATATATATACATATATAGGCGTGGCAGCTGTTGTCGAGAGGAGATGTGTTGTTAAACATGTGTATCCAGGAACTGTCTCTGCCAACGGAAGAGATTCTGATGGGACGATCCCAGTTAGCATCTTGAGGGACACAGCTTCGCTACAGAGTATTCTACTGAAAACCGCTGCACCGCAAGTTACCTACACTGGAGAAACCGTCCTGATCACCGACCTCATTACACCCACACCTTACCCGCTCGCCACAGTCCACCTGGATTGTTCATTCATTGGCAGAGAAGTCCTAGTCGCCATTCGGGAAAAACCTAGTTCAACTTCTGGGCAACGACTTGGGTCAACCAACCAGCAAGACTTCACCAACTTGATCATCTATGACAAACCCGGGTATGTAACTTAGCCACAGAAGAAGACCCTGCCATGACTTATGCAGCAGAGGAAGAGGTGACTGTGACAGAAGAACCAGCAGACATTTCCCAGCCTGTTCTAGTGACTACCCGTGCTCCAGCCGCTCAGCCACCACCAGTAGCAACAGCTGTCAGCCTGTTCTAGTGACTACCCGTGCTCCAGCCACTCAGCCACCACCAGTAGCAACAGCTGTCCTTCAACACATGCAAGGCCTCTCACCGACTCTCAACCAGTTGGAGTTCCGGAACGGACGCTGGGAGGAGGCTCTGCCGGCCATGTGCCATTATCTTGTGACATCCTGACCCCCACCGGGCCCAGACTCAACAGTGTGCAGTGTGAACATCCTGGGAAGGTGTGAGAGTGGCGGGAAGTGTCCAGGGTGAACTATCGCAAGCAAAAACAATCAAACAAGTGGATTGGCAGTGTGGAATCGTTTGAACTACAGTGAGGGCCAACAAGGGCGCCCTGAGGGGCTCCCTCGGTTTTGGTGGTTGGGGTGGGGGGTGGGGGGTGGTGGGGATGGGGTGTTGTTGTGCGGTCAGTCGAGGGGGGTGACCAGTGTGTAAGTGTTTATGAAAATATCAATGAAAAATAGATACCTCGGCTCTCGGGAAACTGGTATCGTGTTTTAAGTGCATCGAGTCCACAGTGAACCAGTTTATATTGTGCAGTGATATATCACGAGATTATACAAACGTGTTAGTGTCACCCCTCTGCCCCACCCCCTCCCCATACCCGCCAGTGTGTACCGTCACCCAACCCAAGAGTCACCCTGTTCCCCCTGCCCCACCCCCAACCGCGACCGCTACCTCCCTGTGTCCACCCCCTCACGCTACTTCCGCCCAGCGCCCACCCAGCGCCCGCCCAGAGCCCGCCCAGCGCCCGCCCAGCGCCCGCCCAGCGCCCGCCCAGCGCCCACCCAGCGCCCACCCAGCGCCCGCCCAGCGCCCACCCAGCGCCCGCTGATGTCGCAGGTCACGACTGACAGCCAGGCTTCTCTCAGCCAAGAGGAGCCATCAATCGACGACAGGTATGGCACATGCCAAGTGTGTGACAAGGTGTGGAGACTCAAGCGTAACGGAGATGTGCGCAAGCATGCTCACAACGGAACCGATTGTCCGGGTATGTGGCGCCCTCCCAAAGAGGGTATCAATCAAGGCCCCACTCCAGCAGTCAGGGAAAACACCTCTAACAGCTTCATTTCGACTGAGAATCTACTAGAAGCCATCAAAGCAACATCGGTTGGAACCCTGCAGCACATCCCCAAAGCTGCCCGGCCCCAGGCAGCAGCCAAACTATCCAGCCTCTTGAAAAAGGTCAATGACTCC